GACTGGAAGCACAGTACCCAGCAGGTTAGCCACCAGTCAACTCTCCCCGACACCTTGAACAGTTTCTTTGACTCATCCAGCAGCAGAGACTGAACATCTGCGGCAGCTGGAGGAGCAGCAGCACCCTCTGGTCCTCCAGCTACACCAAGTGAGCTCCACCCTGAGGAGGATTAACACCAACAGAGCTGCAGATCAGGGGTCATGAGTCCAAGTGATGTCTTTTATTTCAGTCCAACCAAAGGGAATAGGACACATTTTTGCCTCCCTCCACATGTCAGCACGAAAAATGAACTATTTGGAGAGTTCTGTGTCTTGGATGTAGGTCTGTGTTCAGCACCAGGGACAGCTCACTGAAAAGCAACGTCTCCAGCTGTTGTTGCATCTTTTTGTGTTGGTGTAGAAGCTATTTTCGTATTTACATTGGTGTGAAGCTAAAACCCATGAGCAAGCTGCTATGAAATGTGTGTTTTGTCTACCATCTGTGTCTTCCAGGGTCAGGCCTGCAACAACAGCCTAACTGCCAGTAAATACCTTATAAGGGCATAACAGAAACTGACCTTGGGTGTCCACCACCTTTATATCCCATAATATGTGCACTGCTTAGCAACTATCAGTTTAATAAAAATCAACTGCTTGAGGAATTTGTGTGTGAGTTTCCATGAGTGGTGACGAGGAACAACTCGCCTCCTCTTGGTCTCCCCCTCCTCTGCAGACGAGTAAAACTTAACCTCTGTGTCAAGCCTTTTATTCTGATGCCTTTTCCTGGGTCTGTCGATTAATAACTAAACTCTTGATAGTGAGGAACTAGGAGTCGTATTTAGACCCAACATTTCTCTGGTGCCGAAACCCGGGACCCAAGAATCCACCGGTTCGGGACGATGCGGACTCAACAGGACCATTTAGAAATCTGTCGCGACAGTCTCCGCCTTTGCCACGGAGGGTCCACAGCGTGACACCGCGCCGATCCAGACCGACGGTGACGGGTCCCGCCGAGCCAGGGGAGGCATCAAATAGGTAAGAAAATTTCCTGTTCATCAATAAGTCGATTGGTAGTTAACCTGAGTACGTCTGGGACGCTGACGTTGAAATAAAGTGTAAGTAGGGTTAATGAATTAAAGTTGAATAGTAGAATCTTGTCGAATAGACCTGATTTGAGAATAGTAGAATCTTGGCGAATAGACCTGATTTGAGTACAACAGTAGCGGTCCCCGTTGTGGGACGTCGCGAGTAGTTTCTAAGACGTTTATCCCCGTCGTTGGAGTTCACATGGTACAGAAGCATAAATAAAGACTTATGGTGAATCGGGAAGAATAAATACAATAGTCTGTAGAACTTCTGGCTGACACAGACGTGAGTAATGGGTTTTTGAAGGTTCAAAAGTTCAATGAATAATTGGAATGATAGAAGATCACACTTAGTGGTTGTGGTATTACTAAGATTGGGTCTGAAGTTGTTATAAGAAATTAATTTTACCCTACAAGTCCGTGACCACACCCTAAAAAGTCAGTCGAAGACCATTGCGGAAAAAAACGAATTAATTTGAAATATCTGGAAAGAAAAAGAATTATAAATCGGGCTGCGAATGGGTTGAGATAAAATTTAACTAAAAGTTTTAAATCACACTGTTTGATTGCCAACCACCACGCGGAGACGTGACAAACACACGAAGAGAAGAGAGAAAAAAAAAAAGGGTCCAAAATTGAAGAGAAGAGTAGGTGACATAAAGATGGGAAACGCTCAGAGAAAAGAGTTGATGGAGTCTGAGGATGTTAGATTTATGCAACAACAACATCCCGGATCGGTTTCTAGACTTGAAGTTTGGGTGAAGAAATACGGGTTTAAAGCCCAACTCCTCGAACGAGAGGACATTTTAAGAATGGAAAAAGAATTGACTGAAAAAAGGAAAAAGATGTTGTTCAGAGGAAAACAAGACGAAGTTAGAGAGGTTGAGGAAGATTTGAGATTAATGAGAGTGTGGAAAACAGCCAGCGCCAAACGCATAGAACAAAGGCAGGCTAAGCAGGGGAGAAAACAAGAAGTGGCGCTCACAGCTCAGTGTAGAGTGCGTCCAGAG